GAACCATACCTGTTACCATGTGGCTCTCCTCACATACTACCCACTTAGGGCAACAAAAGGACTTGAGACAGCCCTGCCTTATAGGTAAGCAGAAGGAAATAAACATGGCTCGCCTCCCTCTATTTTCCCCTTCCCTCCACCGCCCCACCAGTCACAGCCAGGACACTCACCTGAAGCTTCTTTCTAGAGCTCGTTGTATTTCCTCCCACAATGGGCCTTACTCCTAGTAATAATAGTAATATTAATACAATTTAAAATTGTATTTTAATCAAAAGATTGAATTTAATTTTCTAAATGTTTCCATTGCTTTCTGTTAAGTCTACACAAGTAAAAGGTTAAATGAGGCCCTGGGACAAAGGGGAACTTGTGGGACTGGTGCCAGAAGTGGAGCAGGCTGCTAGAGGCGTGCTCTGTGTGGACATGAGCAGCGAGACCACGGGAGTGGGCATGGCGAGGGCTGTCAGCTCTGGGTTGGGAAATTCTGGAGATTTGAGGGTGGAACCTGAATAGGATAGGGTTTGGGGAGGGGAGGGATCTCAGTGGGATATAACGCCATAGAGTCCACCCTCCAAAGCCACCATTTTTTTCCAGGGGAACTGATCTCTGTTGTATGGAGATCAGTTGTAATTCTGGGCAGCCTCCAGGCCCTACCAGGAGGTTGGCAACCCTGGATATGGCATACTTCCTGGCTGCCTCTACTGTACTGTGACTATAAAGACATATTGCTGCTAACTCTCTCCCGGTTCTCAATATTTTGTCACATATAGGCCTTGTTTTCAGAAGTAGCCCATAAGGGAGGACTCCAACATGACCCTTTGTCTCCATAGCACCGTTTTTCATGTAGTGGTTGTGCTAGAATGTGATGGCAGAGGGCCAACCCTGCCTCCTGCCTAGAGTTGCCAGTTCCAGGTTGAGAAATTCCTAGAAATTTTTGGGGTGGAGCCTTGGGAGGGGAGGTGTAATGATTCCATGTTTTGATGTGTGAGGAGATTCCGTGATATGAGCGAGACATGTATGGGAGAGTTTTGAAGAGAGTCTGCGTGACTTTGAGATGTTTTATGACAAAGTTCTGTGTGTGAAGTTTGGAGAGACAGCATGGTCTGTGTGACTATGAAAT